AGGGCTGAGGCTGTCGCGCTCCCTGCCTGCAGGTAACCCACTGTCCAATAAGAGCCTATACTGACTCCCCCGGTTCCCGAGGCCTGTGACCCACAAACCCCACTATGGCTTGACTTGGTCATGTTTGTGCCTCCTGCATCTGGCGGTGCCTGGTTAGGTCGGAGCTCCACACATATTTGTTGTTCTGACGGAGGAGAGCCCCCCCTGCCGCTACCACACGCACGCCACACACACACACACCCTGCGCCCAACTGCCCCACACCCACGGCAACGCTGCGCACACACACCCTGCCGCCCTTGCCCACCACACGCACGCGCGCGCACACACAACCCTGCGCCCACTGCCCCACACACGCCACGCGCCGCGCACACCACACACACCCTGCCGCCCACTGCCCCACCACACGCACGCGTGCGCACACACACCCTGCCGCCCACTGCCCCACCACATGCACGCGCGCACACACACACCCTGCTGCTGTAAACATGCCATTGAAATACGGACACATTCCAGGTGCAGTGGCTCACACCTGTAATCCCAGCACACTGGGTAGCTGAGGTGGAAGATAGCTTGAGCCCAGGAGTAGAGACCAGCCTTAGCGACACAGTGAAACCCTATATCAAAAAAAAAACAAAAAAATTAGCTGGTCACGGTGGCACACGCCTGTGGTCCCAGCTACTTGGCAGCCTTAGTTGAGAGGATTGCTTAGCCCCAGGAGGTCGAGGCTGCGGAGAGCCATGATCATGTCACTGTACCCCAGCCTGGGTGACAGAGTGTTACCCTGTCTCCATTAAAAAGAAAACAAGGGCTGGGTACGATGGCTCACGCCTGTAATCCCACCACTTTGGGAGTCCGATGCAGGCGGACCACGAGGTCAGGAGATCGAGACCATCCTGGCTGACACAGTGAAACCCCGTCTCTACTAAAAATACAAAAAATTAGCTAGGCATGGTGGTAGTGGGCACCTGTAGTCCCAGCTACTCAGGAGGCTGAGGCATGAGAATGGCGTGAACCCAGGAGGTGGAGCTTGCAGTGAGCCGAGATCACACCATTGTACTCCACCCTGGGTGACAGAGTGAGACTCTGTCTCAAAAAAAAAAAACACATGGGACATATACACCCTTTGTGGGTGACCTCCCTTTCCTCCCTTTCGCTGCTCTTCTCTCCCCTGTTTTTTTCTCTGTTCCCCAAGCTGGAGTGCAGTGCCACAATCTCAGCTCACTGCAACCTCTACCTCCTGGGTTCAAGTGATTCTCATGCCTCAGCCTCCCAAGTAGCTTGGATTATAGGCACACGCCACCATGTCTAGCTAAGTTTTATATTTTAGTAGAGATGGGGTTTTACCATGTTGGCCAGGCTGGTCTCGAACTCCTGACCTCAGGTGATCCGTCCATCTCAGCCTCCCAAAGTGCTGGGATTACAGGCACGAGCCACCATCCCTGGCCCTCCTCTCCTTTTCATCTGATGTCCTCTGACCTCCTCTTTATTGGCCTCCAGGCACCCAGCATCCTTCTGTCTCTCCCAGGTTACTGAAGAGCAATAGCCACTTGAATGAGGAGTGCGGGGAACTCCTCTTGCGAAGAGGAACCACAAAGGTGGCCACAGGTAAGGTACTCCGCTGTCCAAGGCCGTTGTATATTTGTCACTGTTCTTACCGAGAATGTCAAAGACTTGCCCTAGACTAGGCGGGATACTAAGCACTAGGCAGGATACTAAGATACTAGGCAGGATACTGGCAGGATCTCTCGGCTCACTGCACCCTCTGCCTCCCTGGCTCAACCCTCCCACTTCAGTCTTCCCAGTAGCTGGAACTACAGGCGTGTGCCACTATGCTCCGCTAATCTTTTAGTTTTTTGTGTAGAGATGGGGTCTTGCTCCATTACCCAGGCTGGTCTCAAGTGATCCTCCCACTTCGGCCTCCCAAAGTGCTGGAATTACAGGTGCCTGACCTCCTGCTATTCTTGCCTGTGTAATTTTTCCATGTGAACTTGAAAATCAGGTGGTTTAGGCCCCCCCATACAAATCTTGTTGGTATATCATATATGTATAGTTTAGTGTTTTTTTGTTTAATTTTTTGAGACAGAGTCTTGCTCTGTCACCCAGGCTGGAGTGCAGTGGCACCATCTCAGCTCACCACAACCTCTGCCTCCCTGGTTCAGGCCATTCTCATGCCTCAGCCTCCCGAGTAGCTGGGACTACAGGCGCCCGCCATGACAGCTGGCTAATTTTTTTGTACTTTTAGTAGGGATGGCGTTTCACCATGTTGGCCAGGCTGGTCTCAAACTCCTGGCTTCAAGTGATCCACCCGCCTCGGCCTCCCGGAATGCTGGGATTACAGGCACAAAACACGGTGCCCAGCCCATATATGTATGTTTAAATAATAAAATAATAATGTTAATAACAGTAATAACCTGTGCACCCATCACACCGCTAAAACAATGGCAGCACCCGTTCCTTTGAACCCTCTCCAGCTCCTCCTGGACCCCACCCAGAGGTAAACACCTGTCTATCCATTCAGCAAGCACTTTGGGAGCCCCTCCTATGTGGCAGGCACAGTTCTTGGTCCTGAGGATACAGCTGTGAACAAGGCAGACCAAACTGTTTGTCCTCATGGAAGCTGAAGTCTAGCAGAGGAGAGAAGCAGTCAACAGGCAAAGGATGAAGCGCCTTAGAAAGTGCTATGGGGGCTGGGCGTGATGGCTCACACCTGTAATCCCAGCACTTCAGGAGGTGGACAGATCATTTGAGCTCAGGAGTTTGAGACCAGCCTGGCCAACATGGCACACACCCCATCTCTACTAAAAATACAAAATTAGCTGGGCGTGGTGGCGGGCGCCTGTAGTCCCAGCCACACTGGAGTTTGGGAGCCAGGAGGAATTGGCTTGAACCCGAGAGCAAGAGGTTGCAGGGACCGAGATCACACCCACTGCACTCACAAGCTGAGAGCGACGAGGGGAACTGCTTGTCTCGAAACAAGAGAAAGTGCCATGAGACAATATAAGAAAGGGGTGGTGGGAGGGCCTGGCCATGCAGTGTATTTGAGAAGATTTACTAACGGGGGGAGGGAACAGGCCTGGCCTCCTATCCCTGTGGACACCGTGCAGCTCTAGTCCCCGTGTGTCCTGCTGGACGGGTTTCCGTACAAACACACCTCAGTTCACGTTTCCATCCCCTTCCAACCACCGGCAGCTTCCAGCTCTGCGATTACCCCCGGGGCCACAGGGGACGCCTCTGCCCTTTCTGAATCACTCCATGCAGCGCCGCTTCCTTGAGGGATGCGGTTCGGCTCGGGAAGGAACTGCCGGAGTGGTTGCAGCCGTGTACTTTGAGGCTGAAGTTGTTGGCACCATCGCGGATTGGGGGCAGAGAACCAAGTCAGCACCCGAAGTGAAGCTGGGACCACCCAGGCCTCGCAACCTCCACTCCATGGTTTCTTTTTCTCATTCAGTGTCTTCGTCACAAACGACTGACACGATTTGGTACCTTATTTGTTGCTTCTTCCTAGTGAGCTAAAGGGAATGAAATGAGTTTCTCAGAGATGAGAGCCTCCACTGTGCCACGCCGGCTGTCGAGCCCTAAGCGTCCTGCCCTCCATTTTGCACGGGCGCCTTTTGGGTGGCTTGTGTGAGGCCTGTGTGGCTTTGACAAGGTCCATGGTCAGGTGGCCGTGGTCGAGCCCTGGTCCAGCTGGACTCCAGGACAGGGAGTCCTCGGCAGCTGAGGACGTCAGGGGCAGGTGGGAGAAATGAGCCCTGGCTGGAAAGGCCTGGGGGTCCCAGCAAAGTCACGGAGTGTCCCCTGAGCCTGACGGACAGCATTGACGCCACTGTCTTTGTGCTTCTGCCTCCAGGTCTGGTTCTGAACAGAGACCAGAGGATCTCCTGGGTGAGTACCGCTGCCTCTGCTCCCCCCTCGCCACTATATGTTGTCATCTGTTATGCATTTTTGTTGTTTTTGAAAATTACAGGGCTGGCATGGGTGGAGCTCTACGCCTGTATCCATGCCTCTTTTGGCTGGGGGTTAGTTGTGGATCACCTGACGGTCAGGAGTTTGGGAGACTAGCCTACGCCCCAATATGGTGAAACCCCCTTCTCATCTAAAGTAACTACAAAAACAACAACATCATAAAACAGTTAGCTAGGCGTGGTGGCACGCCTTGTGGATCCTAGCACTTCGGAGGCTGAGGCAGGGAGAGATCTGCTTTGAATGGGAAGGCAGACAGGTTGCAGTGAACCAAGATGGCACCACTGCACTTGCGTTATGCTGGGCGATCTGAGAGTGAGACTCTCATGTCAAAAAATAAAAGAAGGATGATTTCACATGTAGGTAACATATATACATAAATATTGTTCAACTTAAACTTTGTAAGTTGTCGTACTTCAGTGGCATGTACACATAGAGTCAGTGGAGCGTGCAGGAGATGGTGAGGGAGACAGTCCAGGCATGACCGCTGAACAGGGGAAGCTGGAAGTCTGCTCAGTGCACTATCTGTGTGGAGAGCGGTGGATTTCCTCGCATAAGGCTGTGATAAGAGGGAGGCAGGTATGGGCAAAGTTCTCCATAAATTCAGCCGTCCCATCTGGAAAGCCTGGAAGTGTGTCACTGGTAGGCACTTGGTATTAATACGAAACTTGCCATCGTCTGCCACTGGAGGGGCGTGTGTGGACCTTGGGCAATGGTAGGTTACCCTTCTCTGAGCATTGGTTGTCTCATGTGGAGAAAAAAGTGCTTTCATTCTTCAGTCTGGTTTTGACAGCTGGCTAGGGGAAGCCCACGGCCCGTGTCCTTGCCTTTGAAGGGTTGTTGTCGAGACTAGGTGAGGTCACGTGTGTTGAGTGGCCTCGCACACTGCTGTCGCTTCAGGTACTCATGGCCTGTGCTATTTTGTGATTGTTCAAAAACGATAGAACACGGGACACATGTGAGACACTGTCATTAGAGGTACGGAAGCTCTAACTGCAGGGAGACCGCTGAGAGCTGCTGTCCAGGCCCAGGCCAAGAGATAAGGCTTAGACCAGGGTGTCAGTCAATGGTCTGGGAATGTTAATGTGTTTGTCTTTGATCCGTGTGGGATTTGTTCTTGAGCATGGTGTGAGGTAGTGATTCGTTTTTCTTTTTTTAATGTTTTAAAAGTTCTATTTTTCCTTAATTTTATTATTGTTGTTATTATTGATACAGAGTCTTGCTCTTGTCGCCCAGGCTGGAGTGCAATGGCGTGATCTCAGCTCACTAGAATCTAGCGATTCCCCTTCCTCAGTCTCTCGTGTAGCTGAGATTACAGGTGCCCTACACCATGCTGGGCTAATTTTTTGTGTATTTTTAGTAGAGACGGGGTTTCGCCATGTTGGGCAGGCTGGTTTGGAACTCCTGACCTCAGGTGATCCGAATTTTTTTTTATTTTTTTGTAAAGGAACATTTCACAAATTTTCATATCATGCTTGTACAGGGGCCTTGCTAGTCTTCTCTATATTGTTCCAATTTGGCAGTATATGTGCTACTGAAGCAAAGCACCCACATTCTATTTATTTATTTATTTATTTATTTATTTATTTAGAGACCAAGTCTTACTCTGTCATCCGGGCTGGGGTGCAGTGGCCCAAGTTTGGCTCACTGCAACTTCTGCTTCCGGGGTTCAAGCAATTCTCCTGTCTCAGCCTCCTGAGTAACTGGGATTACAGGTGCCTAACACCATGCCCAGCTAATTTTTTGTAATTTTAGTAGAGATGGCGTTTCACCACATTTGCCAGGCTGGTCTCGATCTTCTGACCTCAAGCGATCTGCCCGCCTTGGCCTCCCAAAGCGCTGGGATTACAGACGTGAGCCACTGCGCCCAGCTTAATTTTTGTATTTTTAGTAGAGACAGATTCAAGTTTGCCTGTTCCTCTTGTGCCCAGGAAGCCCCTCCTGTGTGCAGGCCCGAAAGACTTGGTCACACCCCATTGCGAGATGTGGCAGCTGCCATATGAGAGCACGCAGGCCATGAGGACAGTATGGGAACCCCTGTTTCAGGGAAGGCACCTCAGGTCATTTTGGTCTGAGAAGCAGAAAATAGCTGGAGGGCCAGGGTGGAACCAGGGCAGTGAGTTTTCACGGGTGTGTGTGTTCATAGCCATAGCAATTTTATATTCACGATGCTGGAGGTGGAGGAGTATCGGGTGTGATTTCATGGAACTGGTCCTTACGGGAGCTTCCTGGAATTAATCCACTGAGCATGCATTTATGAAGCTTGTCCTCTGCGCTCTGTGCTGAGAACTAGGAATAGAGAAAATGCTGAGAGCTCCTGCCCTTAGAGTCCCCAGATCAGAGCAGCACAGTCCAATGGAAGCAGAGTGTGAGCCCCATGGAACTTCACATTGTCTAGCAGCTATATTAAAAGTAAACAAGCCCAAGGCCGGGCGCAGTGGCTCACGCCTGTAATCCCAGCATTTTGGGAGGCCGAGGCGGGCAGATCACCTGAGATCGGGAGTTCAAGACCAGCCTGACCGACATGGTGAAACCCTGTCTCTACTAAAAATACAAAATTAGCCAGGCGTGGTGGTACATGACTATAATTGCAGCTACTTGGGAGGCTGAGGCAGGAGAATCACTTGAACCCAGGAGGCGGAGGTCACAGTGAGCTGAGATCGCACCACTGCACTCCAGTCTAGGCAACAAAGGCAAACTCTGTCTCAAAAAAAAAAAAAGGCTCTATCAATTGTTCTCATATTATTATTGAACATCCACGATGTGATTTCAGATGTAATCAACATAAAACTTGACTGCATTATTTTGCATGCTGTTTTCCAAATCCAGCTTCGTGTCACACCTACAGCACATCTCACTGGAGCTGGCCACATCCCCAACATCCAGATGTGAAATAGTCAAAAGACAGGGCAGGCAGGGCTGCGGAGGAGGCCGGCAGGGGCCATGATGGAGTGCCCATCCTGCACTGTGGTCCCAGCAAGTTTCTTCCTGCTGGCAAGAAGCCCGTCCCAGGCTGGCAGGGGACAACGTGAGGTGCAGCCTGCGGACTGGGAAAGGGGTGTGGAAGGGCCACACCTCAGTCCTAAAATCCAGGCCCAGAAGTGGCCCAAGTCACTTCTCTGCCTTTAATCACACAGGCATACCCAGTGGCAAAGGAGTATGGGAAATGGAGTCAGGCTGGGTAGCCAGGAGCCCAGGAAGAGGGGAGAACAGACTTGGAGAGGGCAGGAGTCTCTGGCCACCAGGGGCTAAAGAGCCTTCGATGAGGCGGTGATGTGGTGGGGTCCTGGGCTCGGATCCAGGGTGGATGGCTAAGGTGCCCGTGCCAGGGCTTAGCTGCCCCAACAGACATGGGTTTTGAGCCCACAAGAGTGCCTGTGCCTTGTGACAAGAATTCACCATGCTTTTGTCTCTGCAGCCTGAGAACAGCTTTGACTTCCTCAGCAGGGAGTTGTATGCGCATTCCATCAGGAAGCTGCAGGCCCATGTCCTGTTCATCAAGTGAGTCTGGACCAAGTGCCCTTCAGTCACCCCCAAAAGACACATGGGCGCCAGGAATCTCCGGGAGGGAGCCCTGGCATGAAGCTCCAAGTTCTCTGTGTTGACCACACCGCTGAGGCTCAAGATCTTTTTCCGGAAGCCCCTCTGGCAGCAGGGTCATGGAAGGAGCAAGGTCAGAGGAGGGGAGGGCTCAGGCAGCAGGGGATGGGCCAGGGCTGTCCCACACCTTTCTTTTTTTTTTTTTCTGGAGACAAAGTCTCTCTCTGTCGCCCAGGCTGGAGTGCCGAGGCGCAATTTCCACTCACTGCAAGCTCCGCCTCCCGGGTTCACGCCATTCTCCTGCCTCAGCCACCCGTGTGGCTGGGACTACAGGTGCCCGGCTAATTTTTGTATTTTCTGGTAGAGACGGGGTTTCACCATGTTAGTAAGGGTGGTATCGATCTCCTGACCTCGTGATCCGCCCATCTCGGCCTCCCAAAGTGCTGGGATTACAGGCGTGAGCCACCACGCCTGGCCTGTCCCACACCTTTCTACAGGTGTCAGCAGGGGGCATGCCCAGGTAAGGCTCCATGACCAGTGAGCGCAATGTCGGCTCACTGCAACCTCTGCCTCCTGGATTCAAGCGATTCTCCTGCCTCAGCCTCCCAAGTAGCTGGGACTACAGGCTGACTGACTTTTGTATTTTTAGTAGAGACGAGGTTTCACCATGTTGGCCAGGCTGATCTCCATCTCCTGACCTCATGATCCACCCGCCTTAGGCTCCCAAAGTGCTGGGATTACAGGTATGAGCCACCATGCCTGGTCCACCACAGACAATTTTTAAGCCATAAAAAGAAACGAAGCTCTGAGATGGGCTCCAGCGTGGATGAACCTTCACGCTAAGTGGACGAAGTCAGACACAACCGTCTACATGTTGTATGACTGCATGCACGCTCAAGTCCAAATAGGACACACTGCAGAGACAAAGCCAGTTCATGGTTGCTCAGGACCGGAAGCCTGTCGGGGGTGTGTGTGTGTGTGAAAGCACAGAGGTTCGGGACTTCATTGGGGGTGATGAAAATGTTCTGTGACGATGGTCTCACAACTCAACATATTAAAAACCATGGATTGTAGACTTTCAATGGGAGGATTGTAAAGACGTAAATTCTCTCAGAGCAAGTGTGGACTCCAGAGCCTGTTCAGATCCCAGCTCTGCTATTCAGGGCTGTGACTGTGGCCAAGTCCTGAACTCTGTGCCCCAGCAGGGCGTACCTTAAGCACTCGCTTGTGCCTGGCTTGTGCCAGCTGAGTGTGAGCTGAGATTAACTGAACCTCAAATCCAACCCAGGGTCAAGGGACCCAGCTGTGGGAGGTGGGGTAGCCCAGGCTTTGGTTTCTCCTCAGAGGCCTGAACCCAGGGCAGGATGAGGGCAGTGCTGGGAGGAGGTTCTAAGATGAACCCCAACTCCTCACTTTCCAGAGCAGTCCACGGATATTTTGATGTGAGAAGAGAGAGTTACTATAGCAAGGAGTCCCTGTCGTTCATGATACACATGCTGAAGTCCACCCTCAAAGAGGTAAGGCGGGGCTCAGGCAGCTGGTGTCCGGCCACTGCCACCCACTCTGGTCCCACCTCACCCATCTCTTCTCATGCACTGAGAAGACCCCTGGTCTGGCCCCAGGCCCAACAAGTGACCACCAGGATCTCTCAGGCCTCGTGCTCCACTGTGGTCAGTCCCTAGAGGCCTGGGGACACATGTCATCAGAATTCAGGAAACAGAGACCTTTGGTGGGGAGATTCTTTTATCATCCTCGAGTACCCACCCTCCTTCCTGGGCCAGACACAATTAGGTGACCCAACTGCCAGAGGCAGTCCGTGGACATCTGCAGAGCGTCCCACAGTTTTTATTTTTGAACACGGGTCTCTCTTGTTGCTCCAGGCTGCAGCTGCGTGGCTCAGTCATAGGCTCACTGCGCCTCAACTCCTGGGCCTCAATGTGCTGCCCTCCACCTCGCTCTGGCTCGCTCGACTCAGGTGCACCCATCATGCCCCAGCTAATAGTCCCACTTCTTCTTCTTTTTTTTGCTTTTTTGAGATGCCGAGTCTCACTCATGTTGCCTAGCTGAGTGCATGGGCAAGATCTCGCTCACTGTAACCTACCACCACCAAAACGGGTTCAAGAGACTCTCTCGCCTCAGCCTCACTGAGTAGCTGGGATTACAGCGACCTGCATCATGCGCAGACTAATTCTTAATATTTTATTTTTATTTTTATTTATTCTTTATTTTTTTATTTTTATTTTTTGAGATGGAGTCTCGCTCTGTCCCCGGGCTCGCGTGCAGTGGCACAGATCTCAGCTCATTGCAAGCTCCGCCTCTGGGTTCACGCCATTCCTCCTGCCTCAGCCTCCCAAGTAGCTGGGACTACAGGCGCCCGCCACCTCGCCCGGCTAGTCTTTTTGTACTTTGTTAGTAGAGACGCGGGTTTCACTGTATTTAACCAGGATGGCTCGATCTCCTGACCTCGTGATCCGCCTGTCTCGGGCCTCCCAAAAGTGCCTGAGATTACAGGCTTGAGCCACCGCAGCCCGGCCCTAAATTCTTATTATATATATATATATATATATATATATATACTTACTATCTATTTTTTGTTTTTTTTTTTTTTTGAGACGGAGTCTTGCTCTGTCGCCCAAGGCTGGAGTGGCAGTGGCCGGATCTCAAGCTCACTGCAAGCCCCTCCTGGGTCTACGCCATTCTCCTGGCCCTCAGCCTCCCAGTAGCTGGGACTACACGGCGCCTGCCACCTCGCCCGGCTAGTTTTTTGTATTTTTTTGGTAGAGACGGGGTTTCACCGTGTTAGCCAGGATGGTCTCGATCTCCTGACCTCGTGAGTCCCGCCCGTCACCTCGGCCTCCCCAAAGTGCTGGGATTACAGGCTTGAGCACACGCGCCCGGACCCAATTCTTATATTTTTAAGAGATGGGTTTCACCATGTTGGCCGGCTGGTCCTCAAACTCCTGACCCCAGCGATCTTCCCTGAACTTCGGCCTCCGCGCCGAAGGTGCTGCTTTTGTCAGACAGCGAGCCAAGCACACCGTGCCCAGCCTATCCGTCATCCACATTTTATAGGCCTCCGCAAACCGCACACGCAGAGCATCTGGCTGCGCTCCTTCCGCTTCGCACCCCATCGCGCCCAGTGGGTGTGCTGGCTGTAGGCGGGGGTGGCTGTGCGCCGGTTCCTTGGAGGCAGCCTGGTGATTCAGGGTCACCTACCCTCAAAACACCTGATGCCTGGGGCCCTCTGGCAGGTTTCCTGGGCCTTGTCACAAAGGGAAGAACGCGCACCCTGTGGCTGGCCGGGGCCCACCGGCTTCAGGCAAGCTCGCCTGGTCAGCCAGCCCAAGGCAAGGGAGCGGGCCCCTCCAGTCTGGCTTCTTCCGAAGGGACGGCACAAAGTCTGGCAGGCTGGCTCACGGCCCCCATGCCCTGATTATTCTTTTCTCACGGGGACTTCCTCTAATACCAATCCACAGCGCCAACCCCCCCTTCCTCGGCGGCTCGGCGCCCGCCCTGTCCGTGCCATGAGCCCAGCTTCACAACACTCAGGGCTGGGAGGCCTCCAAGTCCCATGCGGCCTTACCCACCTCCCTCGCCGGTGGCTATGTGTGCGGAACCCTCACGCATCGGGACCCCGCGTGCTCCTGGCCCTGCACGCGAGGCTCGAAAGGCTGGTGGCAGGGCCCTGACCCCAAGGGCGCCTAAAGGAGCTCCCTAGGCTCCCTCCTGGGCGCACACGCCGTCACCCACACCACCTCTCCTTCTCCAGCGGCCTTGCCACGTTTGTGATTCCGGCATCATGTGTTGAGGCGAGCTGTGGCCAGTATCATCCAGCTCCTTCTTACAGGCACAAACACTGCTCAGCAGGCTCACAGCGTGCTGGGTGGAACTACATGAGTGTGTGGGCCAGACTCAAACCACTGGGAATGTGAGTTTCCCGAGCCCCGCAGCAAGGCAGGCCTGTGGGCGACACGCCTCAGCTGGTCCTTGACACCCAGCCCTACGGGTGTAGTCAGGGAAGGAGTTGAGACTTCCAGCTTCCAGCAATCGCTGCGTGACCGCTCAAGCGGGCGAGAGGCAGAGTCTGGGTTCGGAGGGCTGCTGTCTCGCTGGCCTAATTAAATTCTCGAGCCAGCTCGCAGGGAGGAAGGCGGGCTGGGCCCAGCTTAGCCTTTCCCTGCTGCCCAAGTGGGTGAAAATAAAAGCTTACTCGCCGTTGCTCAGCTGCTTTTGGCTGTTTGTTACGCATCAAGCGGCCTTTTCCATTGAGGGAAAACAGGGAAGACAGAGCGATTCATGGCAGGTCCTCGACAGGAGGTGTGGAGTCAGAGCGAAGGGGCCCAAGTCGCCTCCTCTCGGACACGGCCCCAAGGTCCCCAGGAGCTGGGGCTGAGGCCGCAAAAGACCCGAGGGGTGGCCTGCGCTTCAGGCTCCTGCCCTGTGTGGCAGCTCTCATGGGGGGCTGGGGATGCAGATGGTCCTCAAACCTGTGGGCCCATTTCCCAGAGGCTGCGGCCTCGTCGGAAGTACGGGCTGGGCAGGCCCCTCGCGCCTCGCCCTCATGTTCTCCAGGCCCCCGCACCTCCCCAGGCCATCCACTCGGGCTCGCGGCTCAGTAGGGTCGGAATTTGCGCTGGGCCCCGCAGCAGCCTCGATCATCTGCTTACGTCCTCCTCGAACTTCTTCGGGCAGAGGTCTGCGGCATAGATCTGGGGGCGAGAGGAGGCGCGGGGCAGGGTCAGACAGCCACGGCGCCGGCCGGCAGCCCGGCTTGCTCATTGCCCCACCCCGCGCTCGGTTCTTGTGGGGCGGGGCCGTGTCTCCCAGGCTTCCCAGCTCTGCTTTGGGGGCACGGGTCCTGGAATCGCTGTAAGGAACAACCCGACCGGCAGGCCGAGTCCAAGGGACGGCGCAGTGGGAGGTGTGGCACCGCGCTGGCGATGAAGCCGCTAGAAACAAAGCAAAGGCTGCGGCCGCGCCACCGGTGCGGGCGGGGGAACAGGAAGGGAGTCGCTGAGCGCGCTCGGGCTGGGGTGTCGTAAAGGACGCCACCGCTAGTGTCGTGAATGCCGATGGCCAACGCCTGGTCACCGGGTGGGCCAGGTCGTGGGCAGGCCCGATGGAGGGCGGAAGCTGAGGGGTCAGAGCGAGGGCAGCAAGTGGGAGCCGAAGAGGGCCAGCGAGGCAGGCGTCCAGTGAACTGGCCACCTGAGCACACCCCACACATA